ATTAATATAGCAAGCTCTAAAATCTGCTCAGTCCAGTCACACTAGCAAGCTTATAATAATATATATGCATCTGTGAGTAGAAACAAGTGGAGGGTCAAAACAAACAATCTCCAGTCCTCCTCCTCTAGTTTATTAATGATTTGTTGTATATTAGATCTGCAGATGACGTAAAATTGGATGGAATGAAGAAAAATTAAAGAACTTGAGAGGTTGGGAAAATTGGCTGAAAGTAATGGAATGAAATTTAATATGGGCAATAATATTAGTTGCTTCATTTTTCATCTGCCTATAATCAGGCATAGTACAAAATAACATCAATAAATTCATGCAATAGTTCTCTACAATCCAATTCAAGGTTACAACTAAAATGTAGAGCCTTAGTAACTGGAATGGCTCAAAACATATAAAACAATTCACTATGTTTTAAGAAGGATTCAGAGAAATTGCAGTAGGCCCAGAGAAAAGCAACAAGGTGATCAGTGATAGAAACTAAGGCTCATGAAGATAGCTTGATGGAACTGGATATTTTAGCCTTTAGAAAACTTGACAGAGCTTTAAAAATTTCACATAGAGGATAAAGACACGCTCTTTTTAGTGACATGTGTAGAGCAGTGAATAAATGATTACAAGAAGGCATATTCCTATCGATTAAAAAATACTTTCAGAGAAAGAATAGTTCAACAATGGAATCACTTTTATGGTTTATATATAAGCACAAAGCTACGAGACATTGATCTGAGATGTTTTAATCTGAACTCCTGGATTAGGCAGTGGACTGGGTTTGGTGGCCCAATTGCCCCTTCCAACTCTAACATGAATATATACAATATTAAAGGAACAGTCCAATACTTAATAAGGTACAAGTGCACAATGTCAGGTTTTCTTGGAATACTGAGGAAAACTAGAATAAATCTATTTGATAGCCTGCTGTATCCTTATATTTCTAAAAATGGTGATGCTAAGTGGTTGCTTAATTTGCTTTGCTAGTCTTGAATTCAGATCCTCCTTATAATAAATGGGCTATAAGGGTCAAATCATAACAAGTTAATATTCATTTGATAAAACTGTCTTTATAAAAAACATATCAATCATTACAGACCTTCTGAATGGAGCAAGAAGAGATTACACAAGTTCTCTTTTTTAAAAACTGGGGAGATTAGGATAAAACTCCAAGTAAATTATGAGTGATTTTACAATAAAATTGGTTTATTCTAGAGCAATGTTCATAATTCATTTTCAGAATGTATAGTTCTTTGTGTGTTCAGAGCCAAAGAGGAACATGAAAATAAATTTTCCAGTGCCAGAACCCAAAGACACTATGAAAATTCACTTTCTAGACTTTTTTCCAAGTTAAAACTCAAATACTTTGGCCACCTAATGAGAAGGAAGGACTCACTGGAGAAGGGCCTAATGCTGGGTAAGATTGAGGGCAATAGAAGAAAGGGATGACAGAGAATGAGATGGCTGGATGGAGTCACTGAAGCAGTAGGTATGAACTTAAATGGACTCCAGAAGATGGTAGAGGACAGGAAGACCTGGAGGAACGTTGTCCATGGGGTCGTGATGGGTCGGACACAACTTCGCAATTAACAACAACAACAAGACTCTTCCAAGCTTTTGAAAATCAGTTCAAATGTTAACATAATTGTTTGCAGATGGCAAATGTGGGATATTTCCTCCCCTACAAACATTAATATTCAATACATAATTATGCATTGGTTCAAAATGGTCTCTGCAAAAATCCCCAGACTTCAGGCCAGTTCAATTTCTAGTTTCAGAATTAGACCTCAGATTTGAGTAGTCAAATGTTTTGTTATGAAACAAAACAAAATACATGAAGAGAAACATGTATTTTTGAAAAAGTCTTAATTTTTAAAATCTGTACAAATTGTCCTTGGTAGTAATGTGCTCTCCTCAACATACTGAAATCTGATATGAAAGAATAAATGTTTTTCCATAACATCTGTTGAGTAAAGAGGCAATACAGGCCATCTTTCCATTTGTCCAACTTTTCTAAGAAATAAGAATAACTTTTTTTGGTTCCTGTAGAGCACTGTTTCTTAGAACAAAAATAAATCTAATGTGGCAAGTGTATCTTAACGTAAAGAAAAAGCAAACTCAGCTTCTTGCTTGCCAAGCATAACTGAGATGCTCACCTCTGTCACTGAAGAACAATAGTTATTTATAGTAGCCAAGAAGATGAGAGGCCTGGGGCTTTGCTCTCCTTATTCTTTCTTTCTCTTGGACATTCTTTCTCTTTCTCCCAATGCCACAAAGCTGCAATATGAAGAGGCTGAATGTGAAATGCATGTAGTAGAATTGGGCTAGAGATCTATTACAATTGTAATACTGTCTTCAGAGCCCATGCTCTACAAAAGCTGATTTTCAGGTTTGCTAATGTTAATGGTGGCTATGGGGTGTTCTTGTTTTTTGTTTGTTTGTTTGTTTTCTTCCAGCCTACAACATTGCATACTTTGTCCAGAATAAAATACAGGTCTAAAGTACAGCTGGATTTATGAATTAGAACAGGATAAGGGTGGGTGGATCCGAGGGGACCCATTTCTGCTTTGTTCCAGAATGCTAGGTATAATATGTTATTCACATTTCAAGCAGTCAATACACAACTGAAGCTTTAAAACAGACTCTAAATCACACGTCATATAGTCTAATATTTTAACTTTTCTACTTCTACAATACCTTATTCTCTGATTTTTGAACTCTCACCTGATGAAGCTTTTTGAAAAACTCAGGTTTTACACTTTGGTGGTGATATTTAGGTTGTTCTCAGTAAAAACATAGAGTACTTACACATTTTGGAATTATTATTATTTATTACCTTGCCATAATACTTCATAGGACTGGGCTGTTTGAAGTAAACTTGCCAAATCAATAGAATTATCTGGGGATTTCTTTATTTGTTTATTGTTAGCAGAAGTGGGTGCAGAAAATGGTTTACTATTTCAAATATATCAGACCTACATGACTAATAGATCTATCAGGAACCTGAAGAAATATCATACCATACCATCATCTCATTTACTGCCCTCTCACTTAAATCTCTACGCAAACAGCATCGTAAACTATGCTTTTAGGTACAAAGGGATCATTATAATAGTAGTTACTTTACTTACATTCCTGAATGATTATTCAATATACCGTTTCATCCATAAGGATGGAAAATGTTTTTCGAGTTTATGGGATTTCGCAGCATTTTGCTTTCTGAAATGAGTCAGAGTACAAATATGTTTGTGAAATATCATTGTTTAAACAAATAGTGGTTCAATAATTTTCTTCTTAGTTTTGCCAAATTTAAAAGAATAATATTTGATGTTCACTCCTAGCAATAGTAGTAAAAAGCACAGATTTGTAACACTTTCATTATACAATATTTTGTCAAAAATGTAACAACTTTAATGCTAAATCAATTTCTTTAAAGCGCTGGAAATTTCGTAGCAAAGAATAGAATGTACAACACACAATTTTTTGTAACATACAATTTTTTTTAAAAAAAGGTAGATTTCACTCTATCAGCTCCTATGAATTGGGAATTGAGAAAGCCAAATGAAGCTATTTATTTCTATCTTACCTTTATTATTTTTGCAAATAACTCAAGGTGGAAACACATCCAACACACCTTCCTCTTCCTACTTTCCCCACATCAATTCTGTGAGGTAAGTTGGGCTGAGAGAGAATGATTGGCCCAATCTGTTTTATTAACATCATTTAAGAATTCAAAATATAGTGATATGCATGTCACAGAGGAAACAGTTTCTTAATATATTAAATGGATCAATCTGTCCTGAAGAAAACAAATGAAATCTCTTCACATCATTAATACTATTCCAAAACCATCCAATATTCAAAATTGGGTGGAACAGCTAACATATGTTATCCTCAGAGCTTCAAAACACCAGCACTTAAATAGTTTTGTCTTTGACTGGGCTAAAAGCCCACCAAAGCAGTACACAAAAGAAAATAAATTGCTTTCTTGAGCCTTTATCAGTGCAGTTATGGAAATCAATAGCAGAGGATGATGTTAACTGAATCTAACTTAGAGGTTTGCTCAAGCTGCTCCGACAGATTAAAAAGCCAGGCAATAATGCAAACACAAACTTCAAAAATTTCTGGTGCTTCCAATCTCTCTACTACTGAAATGAAATGATAAAAAAAATATGATTCAACCTAACATTCAGAAAAATGTTATAGGGCTGAGAGAAAGTGACTGGCCCACCCAGCTAGCTCTGTGTCTAAAGTGAACTAGAACTCACTTCTAGTCTGATGCCTTAAGCCAGAGGTCCCCAACCTTTTGGGCACCAGGGGCCAGTTCCAGTTCTGTGGAAAGAAGGTTTTCTGCGGACTAGAGAGTGCAGTGCGTGGTTTTGTGTGCTGCCTGCATCCCAAGGAGGGGGCTTTGCTTGTTTGTGCGGACCAGTTGCTGGCATGCTGCGGCCTGGTACTGGTCCACGTACCGGGGGTTGGGGATCCCTGCCTTAAGCATTACCCCAAGCTGGCTCTCTAACCCATTCTGTAATAGGCACACACATTTGTGCAACACTGACATTTACTGCATAGGAGCTCATTCGAAGACATACCCTTAAGGCTTTGTTTTGTTGTTACTGTTATTTGCAAGAGAGTTGCGAAGGCAGACCGCCCTCTTTTTGAAAACTGAACTAGGGTAACCTTAAAGAAGAGAAGCTGGCTCTCCTTGCGCTCCAGGGACAGCGCATAAGTAATGCATAAGTAATGCAAGCGAGGCCACCAGCAGTTTACTCCTTTGTTGTCCCTCTGGTGTCGCTCGCAAGAAGGCCAAGTTGTTCATCAAGCGGAGAGGCAGAGGAGGCGCAACCAGTTACTCCTCGAAATACAACCCACCGCCGCCTCCAAGCGTCCCGCCTTTAGCTCTCGGGCAGGAAAGCCGTGTCAAGCTCCCCGAATAGCAGCCGGTTTGCGGACGGCCCGTCCCCCTTGAGTTGTTGAGCCGCCCAGGGGCGGTCCTCTCTAAACCGGCCATCCCACTTGGCTCTGCCCGCCTCTTCCGCCAGTGAACGACGGCGGAGCCGACTCGGCGCTGCCGGCTTTGGGCAGCGGCAATTCTTCTCCTTGTCCCTTCGGCGGGATGGAGCAGAGGCTGGCCGAGTTCCGGGCGAATCGCCGCATTTCCAGCTCCCAGACTCGCACTGCAACCTCTTCGGGAAAACCTGCCGCCTCTGTGGCCGGGGAGCAGGCCTCAGCCCAGGCTCCAACGGAGGTCGGTGCGTTTCTACGTCCCGACAACGGTGGTTGCCAAGTTCCCCTTTGCTATTTCGTTCCCAGTCCCGCAGACTTGGGCGACGGAGCCAGGCGCTTTTCACAGCCCTTCTCCTATTGGAGCTACCAAAGGCCGGCTAGTTCTAGGATGGCACCTTCTCTGTATACGTGAAAGGGGCGATGTTGCGTATAAGATAATTTTTAACGCTTATAACCTTGTTTCTAGAAGAAAGCCAATAACAACAGTGCCCAGACCTGTCTAATTCCCACCCCCATATATCTTAGATCTGCCTTAAAAGTCTCCCTTACCTGGTGACTGTGTGGGCAGGTAATTGATAATGGACAGGTAGACAATAGTACACATTTTTGCTGGACCTTTTTTCACTTTCCCAGTCATCTTTGATTCCCTGGTAGTCTCTCCAGAACTAACCAGGTCCAACCTTGCTTATTTTTTTTTTTCAGGATCAGTACAGGTCAACCAGGTACTGCCACCTTTTGAAATTGTCTTTCCCTGTGGTTTTCCCCAATGCCAGTAAAAAATAATAATAATGGTGATTGTCCCTGCAAAGGCTCCAGTTGGAAATTGCAGGTCATGAAAACTTGCAATTCTTAATTCTTCTGCATATGCATATGTACTTGTTTTTCTTGCAAGGGGGCTTCTGCTAATTCTGTATTTCATCCGAGATACAAGAAAAGTTTGATGCTGTTTTTCCCTATTTTGTTGGGACTACATCTACACTAACTCTGTGAGGATGGATAGGCTTGATTGCTAATAATTTGCCTATGGCCAAGCAGCTTGGCCAGATGTGAATCTTTTTTTTATTATTATTAAAAGTTTTACAAATTACAATATAAACCCACCCATCCCCTCCCCCCCTCCCCCCACTTCCCAGAGCTGATTACAGGGTAACAACAGATGTGAATCTTTTTGGTACAGTTATATTTCATTCATTATATTACTTTAGCTATTAAATGTGTAATGCTATGGTAAGAAAGGGAGAGGTGTTGAGACCATGTGTGCTTGTGAAAACAGCTAGGTTGCATACTGTAGTTCCTTGGGATTTCTGGCACTGAATACAGGTAGTTCTTATCAGCTGTGGTCTACAGTTCTTGCCTGTTTTTTAGGAGAATCTGATCTAATGCTTAGTATGAGGCCTTTTGCCCAGATATCTTAGATGGTCTGGTTTTATATAGCATTTTAGTCTTTTATAGATATTAGTGTCCATAGCAAGCCGCACTATTACACAAAAAAATGGTCACGTGTCAAAAATGGTAATATGCATCATGCTGTCAGTCTGCAGGTGATATGTACAATGGTGGGATTCAGCCAGTTTGCACCACTTCGGCAGAACCAGTAGCTAATTTTTTGTTGCCCAGGCCCAGAATGGTTGTTCACATATTTGAATCCCATGTATATAAGTTGCAAGTATGTAAGTTGCTTCCTTTGTCATGTGCAGAGATTTTCCAAAATCATGGACATCTGCATTTCGACTTGTTTTATTGTATTTAATCTTTATTAGTAGCTCTGAGAAGCCACTGCTTGGAAAACAAGTTAGCAAAATTTTAAATGAGAAGTTGTGAAAGGTTTAAAGGCACTGATAGTCTATTACTTAATATTGGTGGCTAAAAGGATGATGAATGAATATAACTTTAGCCTTGTACTTGAGTAACACTTGTCCGACAAAAGAGTTCATGACTATTTAAATAATTCATGGTTATTGATCAGGCAAGTAAGAATCAGATCTAAGGCCTGTTGTTTTCATTATGCTGCATACTATACTATATACATACTATATACTACATATTTCCTTATGAAATGTTACAATTAGTGGTGGTACTATATATTTACTTCTAATAAAATGTTACTAATTGAGATGACTTTTCTTGGTAATCTGGCATAGGTCCTGTACTTCCTGTAACGGGAGACTGAATTTAATGTTTATTCTGCCATTGAAGAGAAAGAAGTTTTAAACTCAAGAGTTGTAGGGAAAAGTGGTAATTCAATTTAACAATGTGGCTACCATGCAGTTTTAAGAAGTTCTCAGGAATTTTTTTTTATAAGTGCTATTCCAGAAAAATGAACGTGACTATTTCCAGTAGCATGCACTCACTTATATGGAATAAATAAATATTGGGAGGAGAACCTTCTTTTGTTTAATTCCATGCATTGACCTTGTTCCTCCAACATGTTAAAATTGCGTCAGAGGAATGATCAGTGTATCATGGGAACACCAAAAAGGGGTCAATTGGCCTAGCCAACTAACTCCTGAGGTTAAATATGGAGCCAATTTTGCATAGGGTAGAATTAAGTCCATGCACGCAACTGTGCTTTGAGAACACCAAAACCCAGTCAGTGGCTTATTTTGTTTAATTTTTCAAGAAAAGAAAAATCCAAGCCATTCCTTTACAGCAGAGGTCCCAACCTTCTAGGCACCAGGGACTGGTTCCATGGAGAGAAGTTTTTCCCTGGACCAGAGGGTGCGTGGTTTTGTTTGCTGCCTGCATCCCATAGATGGAGCTTTATTTGTGTGGACCGGTTGCTGGCATGCCACGGCCTGGTACTGATTTGCGGACCAGGGGTTGGGGACCCGATTTATAGAATTCATTGCAAAAGCCTGACAGCACAGAACATACCTATCAAGTGTGAATGACAGTAGCCAACCAAACAACACCTGTTCTGTGGGAGTGGCTAGCAATTGAACAAAATCTTGCTGGTGCTTTTCCAATGCTAGGACTTGTGGGAATTCTTGGGAGAAAAATGAAAGGGATTCTGTATACCCCAAATGGTTAAACTAATTTCACTTGGAGAATGCAGTTCTGAAAATAACCTTGAGGGCTTTATAGGTAGAAGCCAGCATTTTAAGGACTACCCACAGGCTTATTGGTAGCCAATGCAGGGCCTATAACATAGATATAATGTGCTTCCAATGCTGGGTGTTAGTGAACACAACTAAAATTCAATGCTAAGTAATAGCTATCAATGAGCAAGAAATTATATTAGGTGTGCCTAAGGCTGGTAACTTAGTTTATACATTATACCTACAAATGTTACCTAAAAGTCTGAATGGCTTGATGAGCAGTAGAAGTCAGCAGTTGTTGGCTCATCTGTAGCTGATGATGGCATATGGAAGACTGCATCTTCAAATATCCAAGGAATAACAACTTTAGAATTCAAAATGGAGTGACCAGTACAAAACAATACTGTACATTGAAGTGGCTTGATTGTATAGAGATCGAATTTAAGGTCTATTGCAGACATGTCAAACTTGCGACGTCACGTGACATCGCGCAACGTATCGGAGCTTTTTCGCCATTGCCGGCAATGGGTTGAGTGCGGCTCCAGTATGATGAAACCGGCCCACGGGCCGGCAGTTTGACACCCCTGGTCTATTGGAAAACAATTATATGAAGGAAGAATGAAAGGATTAAGAGCAAGGGGCAAAAACTGAGAAAGTTGCAAGTATGTTTTTATTATGCTTTTCAGCAAGGTCATGGCAATCCCTCATGTATAATCCAGTTATTTTTATTTTATTTTCCAGGAATCCAGTCAAAAATCAGAAAGCCATGAGGCCCACGTCATTACATCTCCTCTGCCATGGTGGACCCATTATGTACTAAAGAATGAAATCTATCTCAAGTTTCTTCTCTGGTTGGTCCTACTTGGACTGTTTGTGGAACTGGGTTTTGGTTTGCCCTATTTTGTCCTGTCTATGTTATATTGGATCTATGTAGGAACTCGTGGTCCTAGGGAAAGGCAGCCTGGAGAAAAAAGTGCATATTCTGTATTTAATCCTGGCTGTGAAGCTATCCAAGGAACCCTCACAGCAGAACAGTTTGAGAGGGAATTACAGTATCGGCCTTTAATTGAGAGATAAATAGGGCTAAAATTCATTATTGTGTACTTAACTTGCCCATGAATTATAGTGAATAATTTGTTCAATTTCTTGTGATATTCTGCAACTTTTTTAAAAAAAAAAACACCTGCAGTTGTGCATCCTGTTTGTAATGTTAAGAGAAAGGATGGTTATATAAAGACATAGCCAAACATCCATTGTTAAGCTCTTTGAACACCTGGATAGACAAATAAAATGAAGAAAAACTTATCCAGATAGTTGTGTGTATGTTTCTAATGAGAAGAAGGTTTGGAAACAATGTCATACCTATAACTATTAGGATACTGGAGCCTTAAAATTGGAAACGTGTTACTTGCTCCATTTTCTCACAAAGCAGCCTAAGAGTATTCAACAAACTTTCTTTGACTTTGAAGTAGAGGGTTTAATATAGACTAGTTCACAAATTAAGCTAGGTTATATTGTAGAGTTTAGCTTTGTATGTTAAATAAACGCAATTTTAGAGTCAGACCATCAGGGTATTTTTTAAGTCCCCGTGATTTCAGTACGGTATGTTTACTTGAAGTATGAATTTATCTAGATTCAGTTTAGTGTTTCGTAATGTACTTTATATCCGTACTGTGCTATCTAAATATAGTATCTTTTGAAATAAACAAGTAACAAGAACATATTTATATGTTACATATTTATATATTGATCTTTACAAAGAAAACTGATTTCCATGTTTTAATCTTAATGTCATCTATATTTGACACCAATGGAGCCATTCTGCAATAGGGTAGCACTTCCTCATTTTTATTTGTCTCAATGATAGGGTATAGACATTTGCATATCATGTATAATTTTCATCCAGTCTAGATTAATTTATAAATTTGCAGGCAAGATTTTTGAAATTCAGCAAATTTATTCAAGACCAAGTATACAGTACTGGCATTTAATACTAACATTCTAATCAATATCTATACACGGCCAAACTTTTTTCTCTAAGATTATTGAGATTCCCAATTCTAAAAGCATTCTTTTTGTAAGTAGTATAAGCAACCTTTTCATACATAAGCAGTCTAAGGCTTAAATATATCAAATGAATGTGGATTCATTTACAACTGTAAATGTACCTATGACCATTTGTTCAGTGATCAAAGTTATGACAGTGCTGAATGAATGACTGGTCCTGTTTCAGCCATCCTAGCAACCTCACAATCATGTGATCGTGATCTGACACAACTGGTTGCTCAGTGCTCTGTGATCTTGTGATTGCAAACTTCCCTGCTGGCTTCTCTACCAACCTCCCTCATCCAGCAGTAGCCACTTAACCTGGGACTTATATGTTCTTGCTGGCTTCCTCATTGATTATGAGAAGCTGGCAGGAAATTGCCTCGCATAAGAAACATGGGATTCAGTTAATGGCAGCAACCTGGATTGCCATTGCTAAGCACTCTGGATGCTCTTTGTGCTTGCATTGCTTAGTGATATAATTTCCACTCCCAATTCCCATTTTCAAGGACTGCCTATAATTTGGGTTTGCTTGTTTGTGCCTTTGAATCTGTCGTGATTCCGGGTGACTATATGGATAAGGCCATGCATTTTTTCTTGGCAAGATTTCAGAAATAGTTTGCCATTTCTTGCTTCCTAGGCTGAGAGAAAGTGAGTGGCCCAAGTTACTCAGCTGCTTTTTTTTTTTTTTTAACTTAAGGCAGAATTAGAACTCATGGTCTCCAGGTTTTTAGTCTTGGCCTTTAGCTACTATAACTGCTCTTAATTTAGATAAAAAGTTAGTAATAAAATATAACACTACTTTTTCTTTGTAGACTTGTAAATATAAATTTTGGGAAACAGATGAGCAACCTTGCTGTTCAGTTCAAAATCTTAATTAGGTTAGAATTCTTTTCCCACTATGACCAATTACATGTGGAAGACAAATATAGCACCTTTCTAATATTTCCCCTACAACTCATATTCAGGGGCATATTGCTTTTAAGCTGCTATCTGCTGTCAGGTACAGGATCATATGATGGTTATACTAAAAAAAATCTGCACTGATTACTAGTCGCTTACTAGTAACGAGTGTTAAGATTTTCCAATAAAATCCTAAACAGCTTAAAGTTCGAAGAGAGATGTCTTCTGCATTGTCCCCCCTCCCCCAAATATGCAGTGTTTGAGGTTGTGTTGTCCCCTTTTCTCACGTGTTTGGACAGTCTGCATAAATACTATACATATTGTCTAAACCCCTGAGAATAGGGATCAAACACAGACATATACTTTGCCAGGCTTTTAATTGCGGGTTTAGTATTGTGTTAATTTATACTTTTAAATTTTTATATTCTGTTTTCAATTTTATTGGTTACCTTCCGTATTCACTGGGGCAGAATGGCAGGGTGATGATCCAGTCCAGGGGTAGGCAACCTCGGCTCTTTTATGACTCATGGACTTCAACTCCCAGAATTCCTGAGTCAGCATAGCTGAGTCATAAAAGAGCCGAGGTTGCCTACCCCTGATCCAGTCAAATCAAATCAAATACTACAGGAGGTGACAGTGTAGCCATTTCACTGTTTGTTCCGAATTTATTCAGTCACTTCAGCTTACTCCTTCACTTACCTCTTCTTGTGTTCACAAATTCTATTGTTTGATGGTGCAGTGAAGTGAAGTATTTGTGTCCATTGGCAGTTCTACGAATTGCATTGCAGACCCAAATTGGTTTTTCCTAGCTCCTTGGCCACTTCTTGTATAATTTTATTGCTTTTATATAATTTCCTTGTTTTCTCTTATAAGCAGAATAATACCTCTTCTTGATGGTTAAAACTTTGAAAAAACTCAGTAATTAGGCTGTGCTGCACTTTCTATCCTTCGATTTGCTTGATAACTGAAATCTATTTTGCCTCAGTTTACTTGAATTAAATGTTAAAGTACTTGATTGCTTTTAAAAAAAATAGTTTTGCATCGATTCCCCTTCCAGGCTTCTGATTACAGAAGCCATTCTTTCATCCACATTAGAGCATATTTCTTATTTGAGTTCTTCAAATAGCATAAATACGATTTCCTAATGCAAATTAATCAATCGGATCTAAAAATTAATCATTTTTCTGAAGTCCATTATGACTACTGAGCTTCCATAGCAACTTTCCATTTACATGTATATTAAATTTGATAGCACAGTGCTTGCTTTTTTCTGTTCTGATGAGAACATTTGGTTCATCAACAAAATCAGTCTGAAATAACTGCTTTCTTTGAACAATAGCTCTTTAGAAAAACTCAATTTTATTTCTGCTTGTTAAGCTCCTTTTTAAATATAAATCCAATGTTAAGAGGAGAAGAATCAGAGCTATTATCTATGAAAAGGTTTGTATGACATAATACAACCTTTCGGTTTATATTTCGGGTGGATTTACGGGTTCTGTTTAGAATTCATTAATGTTCTCAGATTTGAACTTTTTGAGTTAATTATCCTGTTTATAACAAACACCTCAAAATATTCTGCCATAATGTACTTATTTATATTAAAGCAATATAAAAATAAGCAGAAAACAAATTCTTATATAAGAGCGGATATGGTATTTTTCATTGGTGTACTTGACATTTCACATCAAACTTCTAGATAATGTCACCATATTAATCTTAAAAACCAAAATTATAACCTGGAATTAAAATTGCAGGTTTAAGATATTGTTTAATTTTCTTGTTGGATTATTAGTGCTTCTAAATACCTACATTGAATTATATATGTTTCTCTTGAATTATATTTGTTAATAACAAAGCAATAACAAAGCAAGATGCTAACTAATAAGCAGACTAAAATTATATTTAATTTTACAGGGAGCTTTGTTTAGCAGCATCTGTGAATAATGGATACTAACTTCTGTTCTAATGGGTAAAAAAAATAAGAGAAACTGAATTAAATAGGAATATGGCAGGAAGCATAATAGTATTGCTGATTACCTGACTTCTAAAATTTTACTGTAACATGTAAGGTTAATCCTGCCAACCTCATAGTATAAAACTACTATCCTAATTCTGATTTTTGGACCATTTATTCAAACAATTTACTTATCTCAGTAGCTGGATTCAAGGCTTGATGTTTTACACATGAATTTATTTTTTCACTTCTTTTTAAAAAAAGATTTTTATACTGCTTAGATGAAAGCAGTCATATGGACAGCCTGAAGTCTCAAGTACAAAGTCCCCCCTCCATCCCAAGGAAAAGAAATACAGACAGAACATGTGTGAATGGGACTAATTTTTCAGAATATTTTATAAGTATTTCATTTTTTTTAAGTACATGCAATGTTGAACACTTTCTAAACATAAGTCAGAGTAGTAATAATAGGAACAAGGAATTCAGTCATTTTTATTACTCCTGAATATATTTTTTGATCCATCTGCAATACAAGCAAGTGCTTAATTCCATACCTCAGAAGCTGCAGTATTTGTATGTATGGCTGTCAAATGCAACCTTACTATCCATGTACCTTGAAACAGAGTCACAGTGAATAAACAGGTTGCTGGTGCTTTTAGCTGTTCAATGCATATAATGATCACTCATATAATACAGTACAGATTCTGAAACGGAGACATACCTTGGATACAGGTTGATGTATGTATTCCCTTTCTTGTGCCCATCTATGCTAATCTGGCGAGGAATATTTTAAACATATTGCTTGCAATCCCAAACATATATCTTATTTCCCAATATTTCTACAGCTTCCTAGGAGAAAAGAAAACCTTGCCACCTCCCACACCTACAGCTAAATCAGGTTCTTGGAAGAGTTGCTTGTAGTGTAGCCACTAAACTACTGCTTTAGAGGGTACTAGGCAACCTGTGGACCCCTTTTGGTCATCATTTCAAAGATATTTCCTCACTGAAAAAAAGAAACAGAATAAAACTGGCAGGAAAAAAAAGCAGTGGAACGGCTCCAACTTCTTGTTGGATTCCCGATTGAGTTCCTGGATAAACTGCCAGGAAATTCAGAAAACCTACCTTCCTTCCTAACATTCCTGTGGCTTCCCCATTTATTTTTGTTGTGGGAAGTTTGCAGGGAGAAATTCAGTGGGGACGCCAGCAGGAAGTTGCACACCCAAGACTAGCAAGTAGATAAATGAATGCTGCTGAGGGGAAGGGAATGAGGGAGGGCATACGGGTGCAACATGGATAGGAAGGATGCACAAGAGGTGCTGCACAGGTTGTGGAGGATGCACAGAATTGCAGGGGTGTGTAGAGTTGTATGAGATATGGCATGAGGCATGGAGAGTGCACATGGGATACACAAGTGGTTGGCATTGCATGAGCACAAAGGAGCTGTGGAGATTGCATGGATAGGCAAGATATATCTGAGCAACTTGTGGATTTCCCTGCTGGCTTTTCCATTTTCTTGTTGGAAGCCATCAGGAAGCATTGGAAATGATCAGGTGACTCTGGCTGACTGTGGCAGTACTGAAGCAGTAGCAATGCAGTGGGACTGAAATGGCCGCAATGTACCTAAATTTCATTCCCACATGCTATTATTTTCTGTAAAGCTTTCCTTGAGCTTACATTAACCCAGGCCAACATGGTTTGCATGTTTATTTCTCATAGTATAAAACTATTATCCTAATTCTGAATTTTTGGACATTTATTCAAACCATTTACTTAACTCAGTGGGAAAAGTAAGATTCTACATTAAAGCAAGAAAAACCAAATGCACAGGTACAGTATAGGTGGTACCTTGCTCAGTAGTAGTAACTATGAGAGGGATCTTGGAGTCCTAGTGGACAATCATTTAAATATTAGCCAGCAGTGTGCTGCAGCTGCTAAAAAAGCCAACACAGCTAGACTGCATTAACAGAGGGATAGAATCAAGATCACTTAAAGTAGACATGTCAAACACAAGGCCCGGGAGCCGGATGCGGCCCACAAAGTGGTTTCATGTGGCCCGCGAAGCCATCCTGGAAACAGTGAGTGAACGGCCCCCACTGCCGTGGCCCTGGCCCAGGCTGGCTGGGAGCCAATGTACAATTTTGTAGTGGCCATCTATGCTGAAACGCATTTAGTCTTAGCTTCACAAGGCCATCTGGAAACAGCAAGAAACCAGCCCTGCCATGTCGGCCGCACTCCCTGGGTGCATGCTGGGGAGGTGTCACTCTTTGTGAGGAATGAAAAAATGCACCATTGCCTGGAAGTGGTCAGCAAATGGCCCTCGCCTACTTCACATATCTGGCTTGATGGGCTCTGGGGGAGAGGTTTCAGCAGGCAGCGGGGCGCTCTCCTCACAGTGCTGAGGCTGAGCTGGGTGGCGCAAATCCAAAAAGAAATGCGAGGCTGCCCCAGCTCCCAGCCTGCCTGGTTTCAGCAGGCAGTGGGGCGCTCTCCTCATAGCGCCAAGAGCTGAGCCAGGTGGCCCGAATCTGATGAGAAGTACAATGCTGCCTAGGCCCCAGCCTGCCCAGTTTCAGCAGGCAGCAAGGTGCAAAACTGACTCTCACGCTGCTCATGGCATCCTCTCCCCCAGAGCCCACCAAGCCAGATATGTGAAGTAGGTGAGGGCCATGTGCTGGCCACTTCCAGGCGATGGTGCATTTCTTCATTCCTCACGAAGGGTGACACCTCCCCAGCTGCGTTTCTTGCCTGTTTTTCTCCCTCCCTCATCTGAAATATTTTCCCACCACTCTGTACTTAGGGAAGAAGGAAAGAAAGAAGGAGAGGGAGGGTCTGATGGAAGTCCTACTTTAGTCCTACCCTACTGCCCTTTTACCATCCCCTTTCCCCCTCCTCCTGGCCTATCCTGGGGGTCTCCCATCCTATTGCTAAGAAAGCTTTGGATACAAAGAGGTGGAAGGAGAGAAAATATGCATGATACAAATGTTTCAAAAGAGGAAAAAAAGGAACATGCAGGGTTTTCTAAAGAATGAAAGGTGATCCTTATTTAACAATCACTGATTCAGTGACTGAACTTATGATGGCTTTGAAATAGTAGTAGTTACAATCATATAGCTGTTACAGCATCCCATGGTCATGTGCTCATGATTTGTGACTTTTCTTGCCAGCTTTTGACAACTGAAGTCAATAGGGAAGCTGGCAGGAGGTCACACATGGGTTAATTAAAAATATATTAAAAGCAGTTAAAATGGAGACAAAACTTTATTCAAATATTAAGTTTCTGCAAAGCAATTAGCTTTTATATGCTATTAGAATTTCCAGCATAGGGGGGGGGGGACTAAACCAAACCTGAAGATAATAGATTTGTTATATTTTATCCAATTGTTTTTCCACTCACATACAAAGTATGAGGAGCATACGTGAAAATGTGTGCAAAAGCAGTGAAACATGTCACCAATTTCATTAGTATTACATCACTTTCCTACCATTATAGTGTACCTAATTCTGTTCTAATTTTGAAGATGAACAGGCAGCGTTGTGAAGTACAAGAAAATATGCTTCTCTTTTTGTCATACTCATTACTTTGTCTAACTTATTTCTAGAACAAATTTGTTTTGTTTGCTAACGAGATTTCAAAATTTGCTAATGAGATTTCAAAATTCTGCTATAATTACGTTTTGCTATTCACCAGTTCAATGCACTGTTTTTTCATTGATCTATACAGCATTTCTTTATTCATGTTGAAGAAACTATTGAGATTATAGAAACCATGTGAAGGGGCACTCTGCTTCATGGGCAATCCTGGTGGATGCCTAACATCAGAAGAAGTCAAATCTTTGAGACACATTAGCTATCTTTAGGCTCTAAAAATGGATTAATGGGAGCTTCATGAACTGCATAGTGCTGTGAATTACACATATAGGTAGTCCTTGCTTAATGACACAAATTGGGACCAGCAACTCCACTACTAAGTGGCACAGTAGTAAAGCATGATGTCATGCTGACTTATGGCAATTGTGGCAGTTCTAGTTGCTGTCATTAAATAAATCCCATACAGTTATTAGGTGCAGTGCCTTGTGATCATCATTTGCAACCTCTTGCTGGTTTCCCCATTGATTTTGCCTATCAGAGGTCAGCAGCGGTCACAAATGGTGACCACCCGAATATGATAACGCTGTGATAAGTCTCCTCATTCCGTATAGTTGTAATTTTGAATGGTTGCTAAACGTGTGGTCATTAAGCATGGAGCATCAATAAGCATCACTAAAAACAAAACTTTTTACAACTCTGTAATCCCTTAATTTAGGGTAGAATTGGGGCAACTGGAGGGAGTTGAGCGTTTACTGGCCAGATGCCTTTCCTGATGCCACACAGAGTTCGCAGCAGATATTTTTTCTTTGTGCTCTAGGAGAGAAACATTTGCCACTACCTAGGATTGAACTCTCAATCTTCCAAGTGGGAGGCAAGCATCTTCATCAGTAGGCCATCATATCATTCACATATAAGTATCACTGAAGAATATAAAATCCCTGTGTGAATTTTTAAAAATCAGTGTGCATAATAGTAAATATGTTGAGCTAGTATTGGGAAAATACTGATTCAAGTCCATCTTCAGTTTTAGAAGCTCATCAGGTGACATTAAGTCAGTTTTGCCTCAGCCCAACCTACCTCACAGGGTTACTGCTATGGAGTGAAATTGGAGAAGAAAATGATATGCATATTTACTTGAACTGCTGGAAAAACATTAAGGCACAAAATTAAAAAATAGTTTTACTCCCCAAATATTAGTTTTTGAGAACTAACATTTGTTTTAATGCGTTTTAGAACTCAATTTAAATGTTAAAATTAAAGTGTTTTGGAACTTCCCGCATTGATAAATATTTCTGAAAACATTGTTATTTTCCACTTCTGTTTTGTAGTTTGCACTGATTAGGGTCTTGTGTATCCATAATTTTAAAACCTAGTGTTTTAACTAGGAATTATATGACAGGACATTTTTCTGCAGTTCTACAATCTCCATTTTTCTAATAGTGCTATTTTAGCCATTAAATCCCATAGTAATTTAATAGGCTTTATTCACAGGAGGAAACAACTGAGTTCACTTACAGCACAATTCTACTTATGAGAAGGCATTATTTAAGCAGATTACTAATGGGAGAGCTGAGTTATAATAATTAACTTCAGCTAATCCTAAAACGTATTTAGGTAGTTATCTAGGACTGTCACAAGACAAATTACTTGTCTAGAAATAGGATGAATATTTTATGTAATATGACCAGCTTGTCATATTACATTACGTATCACAGCTTGTGGCTGATTTTAGAAGCACTGTGACATTGTACCCCTTCCCTACAAACATAGTGACTTACAAGATTGAGTCAAATCTTTTACCACAAAGTCTCTCACTTGCAAAATCTGTCAAAAATTGCAAAAATAGGTTGCAAATAGCAATTATATTCTGCCTATAAATCTCTGACAATGAGTATAATGAAGTGAACTATACAAAGTATAATTGGAGAACAAATATGCAAATACAATTTTTAAGGCCAATGAATTATAAAAAGTCAGTGGCTAATCGGATACATAAAGTATCCATCTACAACTGAAAATCACACTTCTATTTCTGCTTACTTGGGAACAAATCTCAAAAATTCTTATCTTTGAACAGACAATTATAGGGCTGCATTGTAAATTTAAATCAATCACTATCGCAGTACTTGAAGTGGTAGAATATACTGTTCCTGTTCCTAAAAATGAATGCAAAGCTCCATGTTTCATAAGCCAGATGAACTTTAGATGCCATCTGACTTCAAATTTTGAAGGCAGATTGTCTGTAGTCAGTATAGTAGATTACATTGAACATAATGTATCAATGGCTTCATCTATTTGTAAGTCACAAATCATGGACAGGTGCTTTAACAGATGTTTAATACAAACATGACGGAAGTTTTTATGTCTTATATATAGCATTTGAAAAGATACATTTTGCAATTAGAAGTTACAGTTGTGGGACTGAACTACAGTAACAACAAGGTACTGAAGGCAATAGTTCTTTCAACAGACATGGAGACACAGGAGTGAGGTGTAGCCAATTCAGTATAGCAATGGCTATATTGAGTTGATGAATGTGATTATGCTAGCTGTGAGCTTTATGTATTCTATGATGGTTCTTATTTTTAAATTGTTGTATTGTTCTTTTTGTTTTATATTTGTTTTGTTTGTAAGTCACCCATTCTCTCTCTCTCACACACACACACATACACGATAATAAGTTATATATAGATTTGAAAATAAATAACTTCTGTTCATACCCTACTACACAGTATAGTGGTTGAAACATGAAGCATTATCTATTAAACTTTAAGAAATCCAGGATCCAGTTCAGAATGGTTTAAAACATTACTGTTGCCATATTCCACTTGCTATATTCTGCTTTAACTTTAAAAGAAAAATTAAAATAGCATTGGCACAAAACAAATTCAGTTTAGAATTATTTTTCAAATTAACACCAATACCCATCTTTTTATTCTGATAAATGTTTTACGAATGACTGACACCTTGAAATGGATTTACTGATAGCAGAATATGGAATTTATATAGTTTTAATTCATTCCAGCTGAGGACTCTCTTAAGTCCTCCTCCTCTTAAGAAGATTTCTTGGCAGCTTGAATGCCAGTTATCTCTCCTGTTGGATTGTGAGCTGACCAAAGTGCTGAAAATATAGCTGCAGAATCAACTCAATCAAATTGTGTTCCAGAAGACAGAAAAAGAACTATGGTCACATATAACTATAATGTGCCGAATGTTTATGACCAAGATTTTTGAGCACAAAAATGCAGTTTTTACACATATATCTTCTAGGTTTTAGCATAATAAAATATAACATTTCTATCTCTATTCTTACAGGGATAGTAACATAATTCACTTAAAAATACATACATAACAATAAGCTACCAATTACTTTGGTTCATACTAGCATTTATGCAGCTTTCTGAAGCAGTGAAGGACTATGCAAAAGCTAAGGCATAAAAGGCTATGGAATACTAGAGCCAAGTATATATTTCTTCAGATCAAAAAAAACCCAAATAAACTAACAAGTCTGAAACCATGCAACAAAAAGCGACATATTACATTCAATACTTCTGACATTGGAACAGGAGTTGGATTGTTCAGGTCTTTCCAGGTAGCAAGAAAGTAAAGATTCCCAATGCCATTGGATCTACTTATTGTAAAAAAGCATTTACTAGACTTGCATTTCAAATGTTTTTTTTAAAAAAGTTAAACATTATTGTGTCAGGATTGCAGAGAACATGTCTTCATTAGCATTAATGACAAAAAGCACTGGCCCACATTTTTTAACTATAATGGGCATGATCTTTTGTGAAAAGCTTATCACAACCCAAGTACTGTAGAAGATATTTCCTCTACAAAAGTGTTGCTATGTAGAGAAACTTCCTGTCCTGGATTGAACTCAGAATGGCGTCTTTTTGCTTAATAAAGCTGCCAATGGGAAAGTTCTGAAATGTATATGAAGATTATGCAGACTAAAACTGCTTTTTTTCTAACCATGACTGTGGTTACCTTTTTCATTGGCTGATCTTTCTTGTCTGCATTAATCAGAGGCATTCTTATAATTTAATCACTGCTTCAAATTGTCTACCTGTTCTAATAGGTTATTAACCTCATGTTTATAACTGCATCAACACAGGATTTAGGCTTTGGACACCTGGAGGCCTCTGGTATTAATTGGGGAAAACTGTTTAAACTTACTTTGATGGTGACTTCTACCCTCAAATGCACTGATTATATTAGCCATAATATAAGCTTTATTTTAAAAGCTTATTCAGCTGCCCGCAGCAATGAGCAGCGGAAGGTCAAATTTTCTAAAGAGTCTGGCTGGGTGGGTGTTCAATTTTATCTCCTACAGTTCTGGTCAGAGGGGCCATTTCCTCTGCATCTTAGCTGAGTGTAGTAGCTTGACAAGTAGCAGCGTAGACTGTGGTTCCGACTGTAGCCCCACTGCTAATGCTGTTGGCTGGATATTTAAGTGGCTTCATACTGTTGTCTCTCTGGACATAGAAATGTTCCAATCTCCATCGCTCCCAGCTTTTCTGGAATTCTGTCCGAACCTTCCATAAAGAAACAAAGGAAAAGAGAACAATATATGATCTGGTACTGCTGCACTTTTGTTACAGAGCTAAAAAAAAAATCATCATACAATGTTTCAGATAATTAAAACTAATCAAATCAAATATCTTTATTATGGTGTTTAATTAACTTTACAGTAGAAAAACAGAGCTTGGTATAGCAATTCATTGCCAGGGAAAAGAAACACTAAGATGATAAAATAACCTATCAATTAAATGTTTTGTGCATTTGCATGAATTGAAGATACTTGGCCACCTGCTGTGAGTGTAAAGTTAGCATCCTTAGCAAGGTTTTAATGTAGGTCTGGCTGAACCCCCGAGGGACTTATTAAGCAAATTTTCACAGTACTGAAATATAAAACAATTGCCAAATACAATTGTGACTAGTTAAGTATGGGATTTATGTATATTGTATACATGCAACTTTTATACTCTAAGGATGAGCAATTTGCTATGAGAAGTCCCTATAGCAGGGGTGTCAAACTGCTGGTCATGAGGCCGGATGCGTCATGCCAAAATCATGCCCACTCCATTGCCAGCAATGGGAAAAAAGTCACGATACGTCGCGACATGTCACATGACATCGTGAGTTTGACATCTGTGCCCTATAGCATGACCAGTGACAGAAACTATGCAAGTTACAATACAAAATATCACAAGAGTAATTACTGTTGATGAAATAACCATTTACCTCAACACAATCTGTACTAACAACAATTTTGGCCTCAGAGAGGACAACTCAGGATTGAACCTTGCAAATCTACCATAAGTTTCTCCTTCCCCCAAGCAGAATGGATGAATGGTGTAACTGAGGAAGAGCAAACATTTACCACAATCTCCAACATCTTTCAAGGCACCATTAGTATTTTAACTAAAACACCACTGAGTGACATTTTGTATTTCATTACGTTGCTTTTGAATCTAGTTTAAATTTATGGTGACCGAAATTGTTGAATATCAAGTTTGGTATGTGAAAATAAAAACTCAGTCTAGATAGTATTTATTCTACTGTTCATTTGATTTTAATCAACAAATGAAAAGGACTATTTCAATTCACTCAGATATGATGGAAATGTTGGTTCAAATTACTCCTCATTGCTTACAATATTGTACAAGAAAGCCACTATTATTTAATTATGGATAGGCAATAATTTATGAAATGGCACATTATTTGGATGGAATATCCAAATAATGTCTCCCCAAAGGTCTTTATGATAACAATTAAGGAACAAAACGCATCAATGTATTTCTATACTCCAATCACCACAGTCTTTTACAATTGAGCATATAGTTTTTCCATTTCTACTAGGTTAAAGTTTAATGTCATTTCTCCAGCCTTCATCCATGACTGTAATTTAAGAAAGCATATCATTGTATAAGAGTTAAAATCTAATTGTATAAAATATGTTCTGAGCCATTTCGCCATGCTAACAATCTAGTGATCTGTGAATGAACTCCAAGGTGATAATAGGAAATAAATATTGCATTGGGGAAAGAAAACCAATTACAACAACAAGACTATGTGCTATATCAGTTTTTAAGGAAAAAAGAGGGAGGGAAAATTGGTAAAGCAAATAATTATTTTAAAATTTGAAAAATACCACTGTGAGAGTTATTATTTCTAGGTTTTAGAATCTAGGATCATGTTTTTTTACAGGAACTTCAGTTTTATCATGTCTCTTTACATAATGTGGTACTTTTGATTTTTATAAAAAACAATGTAGAGTGGCCTATTATATTATGACAGGAGTATGCATATTTACACTACCATTATTTTTCCACATCTATAAATCAGAAACACCTTAAAATCTGAAAGTTCCAATGTTTAATCTAAAGTAGAGAAAACGTCTGAGTACAATGCTTTCCATTATGGTATACTTATTTGCATGCCTACCCTAACCCTCTAGACGTAGATCAAATATCAAAAACAAACCAGGCCTACAACTATGAGGGTGGTTGAGCATCCCATATATTTAAACTTATCCCTTGTAAGCAGTTCCCTATCAAAACCAGGAAAGCTTTGGTGAAAGAAGAGCTAAAAAGAAAACTATGAGTAAGAAATAGGTTCAAGGTGAGTCACTTGTGGTCCTCCCTTTGCTTTTCAAATTGGAAATAGATTTGTCCTCATAATACTGTAGCATGTGCTTGGTAAAAAAATGTTTAAAGAATTTAGTAGAGCTGTAATTAAATGCTTTATTATATGTTTTAAAGTGGAATCATTTCTTAAAAATTCAGAGTTTAATTCTCAGTAGCACATTAATTCAAAATTCTAGGAATCTCAGAATCGAAATCCTTCTAACCATGCATGAAATCTATAATTATATGGAGATTTATTTGGCAAAATAATTTGTCTACAGAATAACTGTCTATACTGGTTAAAAGTAGTACAACTTTGCTAGAGACAACTATTCTCTTGTCAAATTTTACATCAGAGATAAACATTCAAGCTCAAAGTTTATACAGATTCTGGTACTTTACCAGAACAAGAACTGAGTAATTCAAGTGTAATTACTTGTTGAAAAGAATTGGAATTGAATGCTGAATGGATTGAAGAAAACAACTGAATGACAACAAAATATGATCAAACATCTGCCCAAAGATATTTCCATTCATGTTTTCCCTTGAATGGAAATCTATTTTTAACATCTGTTCCACAGTCTTTCAAGATTCATTTTATCATGAACAGTAGATTGGGTAGCAAATGATTTCAAACATCCCAAAATTATGATTACTTCATTTGTGATAATTCACTGTTCTCTAAGTTATGCAAACCTATTACTGTGTTCAATGTTCAATGAAATTCACTTGTTTTTAGAAACAGAACCATTTTAAATGTTGAAGGCTATCTATTGAATGATGTATGATAACAGCTACTGTACATGATTTAAAAGAATAGATCCTTTTTGTGTGATGAGTATAATGATTTTAAAGAGGATATGAAGTTTTGCTACTTGTTACAGTGTTATCTATTTTACAATTTGTAACAGTATGACAAATTTCTTTTTTCATTTTGTTTTCTGATTTTTCATTGTCTAGTAGGCAATTAGATAACAATCTCCGATCTAAGTATTAACCAGGCTTGATTCTACTTAGCTTTTAAGCTCAGGCAAAAGTTAGTTATTATGGAAATTGATACAAGGAGTTATCATGGAATTCTGTTTTCTAGATAAATAAAGCTCTCCTAATCTGTTTAAAATTTTCTTAAATCAAAATGCCCCCCCCTTTTTTTTTTTTTGCTTTTTACTAATTGTATCTTGTACACCACCCAGAGCACCTCCAGGGACTTATGCCTCTGTTTAAAAATTTTTAAATCCCAAAAAGGTAAAACTCACCAGATGTCAAATTTAGCTTGCCATTTTGAAGATTAAAGGCCTTTTTTAAATAAAAGCTATAAATGATTTTGATCCCAAATAGCCATCATTTGGTAGATAAATGTGATTTTAGTTTCTTTTAAATATGTTATTGATAGAAGCAATCAAAAATTAATAGTGTGGAATTAAGCAACTTTCTATGCCTCTCACCTCAGTATTGTTAAAACAGTAGAGAATTGCCACCAAAAGTCCCTGAAAAGCAAAGATAATAAAATAGCAGTTAGAAAAACCACACACCCTTGAATTAAGCTTCACCAGCAAAGCTAATGAGGAAACAGACTATATATAATTCTGCTTTTTTTCCCTGCAGCATGAGAAAGCAGTTCAATGGAAGAAGATTTCATTTGACTGAATAGTGCCTTGCTGACTCAAGACCAGGAAAAAAAGCTCCTACAGAATGTCAGGTTAATTCATTTTATTAGCAACTTGGTTCATTGCCCTTTTGGAAAAAAAAATGATAAAAGGAAGACAATTGCTAATCAGATAGTGACTGATTCAATGTAAAAATAGCAGCACTAACAGATTAAATCAGATGCATATTCACTACAAGGAAATTTCTCAGTAATTAGGAACAGTGTGTTGCTAACATAGTCTTCCCCAACCAGACAGGCTGGGATTGCAGTTCATCAACCTGATGACCCTCTACAAATACTCTGCAAATAGTGCAAGTCACATCTCTTGGAAAATTTATAGATTATTTTCAGCCAGTCAGCTTGCAGTTAGCACACTTCCATGTAGACCTTGTGCCTATTCAGAGCATTCAATTCACCTAGCAAAAATATAGCTTGACATGTATCATTAGAAACCTCAAAACATTTAACTCTTAACTATTAAGCTAGATAAAACTAGATGAATTCGATAAAAAGCAAAGCCCGGAGAGATACTATAGATAGAGTAGAAACAAGAATTTATATAGCTGTATAAAAAGCAAAGTCTTTTCCAGAGCCATTAGAAATAATCCTGTGAAATATTAATATGGTCAGTCCTAAAAGACAGTCTACCCTCACTCCTATCTGTATATAACAGCAGCAGAATAAAGGCAGAAAGTAGGACACCGGGTGATCTCTTCTGTATTCTGTATCACAAAGAAAACCATTTGGTCGAGGGAGGTGATATATCCAAGTGTTGCCTTATTAAGCAAGTGTCTCCAACTGAAATTACAGGCACATTTTGATTCATATTTACACATTATACCATTTGAGCTGTCATGTAAAACTGATGGATTTCTTTGTTCAATTCCAACCTTGAGACAAGCATGCATGTCCTGCATTTGCTGAGTCAGCTGCAAAAAATGATGAAATGACGTGGCAGATTTTTTGTTTGTTTGTTTCCTATTCTTCAGTTCTGATGAGCATTCAAAATTCTGGACAGTTGATAAATCTAATGCCTGAGTAAAACATGCCTACAATGAAATTAAAGGGAACCTTACTTGTTAATCTAGTGAAAAAGGAAATTATTATTTCTCATCTAGATGTACTCTGAGTACTCTAGAGTAATCTAGATGTACTTCATGGTCGCTATATCAAATTCTAACCAAAGTGAAGACATTCATCCACTCAGTTTCTAGAGCACAACACTCCTAGCATAGACTGGAGCCGACACCATTAGAAGCAGTCTTAAAAAAGAAAAATCTTGAAATCCTGATTACAAAATTTCACACTGAATAGAGTATGTAGGTCCTACCTGAAAAGAAGAAGAGGAGAGTTCAAAAAAGAGCTTCACAAACCGCAGTGTCCCCTTGGCATGCTCATCAGTAACAAAAGCAAAGATGATTTCATGTGTACCCAGAAGTGGGATCAGAGTCAGTGTAGATTTGGCCAATCTGGGAAGATCAGCCAAACAGGTTAACAAACAGAAGCAAAAGGTTCATCTAAAATAAAAAAAAATCACTGGAATAAAACAAGTCTAACCACTCTTTTTGGAAAGCTCTACCACAAAACAAATGGCTCTCTTGTCTCTAGGGCAGGGGTGTCAAACTGCTGGCCCATGGGCCGGTTTCATCATACCAAAGCCACGTCCACCCCATTGCTGGCAATATAAAAAGAGTCGCGATATGTCGCGCTACGTCACATGACATGGCGAGTTTGACATCCATGCTCTAGGGTCTCAACTTCTTCTGGGGAAATGAGTAGGTCTAGCTTCCAGGACTTCAAAACTCAAAGGCAACCTGTTGAATTAGCTCAAGAAACAATTTGGACACCAATAAAACTGGCACAAAATTATTTATGGCTTCTGTATTCTTCTAAGCTCCAGAGGGGAGCCTTGTTGCATTATGCATCAAAATTTGCGGCAGGTATTCAATGGTAGCCCCTAATGATTTGCATTACTGAAATATATCTCTCCCTTTCCCACAAAAAGAGAAACCCTAATACGTACACAGGGAAAAAATATTTTTGACCTAGAGGACAGGATTGATTTCCCCATAAACTATTCCAGTTTTTAAAAATACACTTGATTGATAAAATATGAGTGACTTTGTAAAATTGTACTTTAAAATATTATGTGTCTAGGTAGAGAATTAAAAGAATATTTGGTTAAACTTGTACCAGAAAAGGGTATTTGTGGATGTAGCATATTTGCTGAAATGGTACTTATTGCTAACATATATTTGGTATGCCAAGCAACATTAAATATCAATATCAAATACAAACATTGATACAAACTTATCAATACATTTCTACTCCAGACAATACCAAAACTAGTACTTTAAAATGCCTGATAAACCAGAACTTTTCCACAATAAATAACTTGAAACCGACATAAAAAAAGAAACCCATAGCTTGAAATGGGGGTGACAGGTAAATCTTCAAAGTAAATTATTTATGGAGGAGCTTCTTTAACAAACTGCATATACAGCACTCCAAAACACGTCTAAAACAGATTTCAATATAAAACTATAAAAAGTTAATTTCCCTCCCCCTAAAAAGGAATTTGACAGATGTACTATAGACAGATGTCTGCCACAATTCAACATTTATCTGTACTTAAATTGTTATTGGTAAATGGCACCACAATTTTGTTTCCTCTTATTAGATGCAATCTGCACTTTCCTCAGTTCTCATAAGCATTTTTCCTTATGATCAATTATCATAAGCATTTTGCTTATGGGGAGGGGAAACCCTGATAATATTTTTGCTGACAAATGAACTTACCTGCATTTTATGTCACTTTTGCGCAACAGATTTGCTTGCAGCTTAGAAATTATAATGCAAATAACCCTAATAAAGATCAGGAAGTTCACCTGAATAAAACAAAAAGGAATCACAAAGCAGATTGTAGAACTGAGCAGCATATCTCTGTTAATATAGCACTTAGCACTAGTACTTAGATTTATATACCGCTTCACAGTGCTTTACAGCCTTCTCTAAGTGGTTTTTACAGAGTCTGCATATTGCCCTCAACAACCTGGGTCCTCATTTTACTGACCTCGGGAGGATGGAAGGCTGAATTGTTGAGCCGGTGAGACTCGAACTGCCAAACTGCTGGCAGCCAGGAGTCAGCAGAAGAAGCCTGCAGTACTGCATTCTAACCACTGCCCCAGCAGGGCTCTAATAATATTCATTTTAAGATTATGTTGCCGGACAACTCACAACTCACTCCAAAATTATGCTCATCATATGAAATATCACGAAGGAATACATCATTATATATTCTAGTTAACATACTTCAAATGAAATTTTAAACACACATGCCAAGTATAAATTAATATTTTAACCAATACCTTAATTATTATGATAGTTCATTATTATGCATTTTATCTACAGTTTATTATTATTATAAAATTAACACAGGCCTGTTAGGGATTCTTGCCAACAGCTTTTCTGTTTAGCACAGAGTCCAGTATGCATACCAGGAAAAAGACTGCTTGTTAAGAAAAAGGAGTTTAGCCACAACTAGATTAAGAATTTGATGGACATTCAATTACTTATTTATTGGAACACAGAAAAAAGCAATTCCCAAATTAATTTTTATAGATAGATTGGTTAAAAAACTGTCATGCATCATTTAGGCATTGAATGTTACAGGAAAGAAAACAATGGAACTCCTATAAAATTATTTTACTAATGAAGGGACAGCTACACTGCCAGCATTTTTATCCCTTTACACTCACTGCCCATAATCTATGTTACTATTGCAAGAATTTCCAATCACTTACCCCAATAGCAACTATAATAGGCAGCCTGATGATCAGCCAGTAGTTCATGTTCAGATTCTTATTCCAACAGCTGGAATAATAAAAAAATGGGACAAGGATCAGTGCATGGAGATAATAATGTAATTATCCCACATGTCTGTTCCACACATAGAAAAGCATAATAGTTGCTACTTAATGCAGATACATAATGCAGATGAATCTTAGAAACAATTTCAATTAATCTAGATCAGGCATGTCAAATGCATGATGTCACGTGACGTCGCGCAACGTATCAGGCCAGTTTTGCCATTGTTGGCAATGGGGTGGGTGCAGCTTCCACATGACGCGTCCAGCCTGCGGGCCGGCAGTTTGACACCCCTGATCTAGATCATTGATGCAAAATGGGTGTTCTCTGTTAGATGTTAACTATTAACAGTAGTTAATAAAAGTGGTGGCTCAGTGGTTAGAATGCAGTATTGCAGGCTACTTCTGCTAACTGCTGGCTGCCAGCAATTTGAGTCTCACTAGCTCAGGTTAACTCAGCCTTCCATCCTTCCAAGATTGGTAAAATGAGGATGTTGGGGACAATATGCTGATTCTGTAACCGCTTAGAGAGGGCTGCAAAGCACTGTGAAGCAATATATAAGTCTATGTGCTATTGCTACTTCATTAGAAATTAGAAAACAGGTTATAACAGGGGTCCCCAACCTATGGGCTGCAGCCCGGGACTGGGCTGAAGGCTTTTGGCCAGCGGGTTGCAGAAATGGCTGGCCGATGCACACACACATGGGTACACATTTCCCCCCCACACACTCATGTTAGCGCCTGCAGTCCCATTTGCAAATGTGCGTGGGTGCGAACAGGGACGCTAGTGTGGGGCAAGTTTCTGTGGCCCATTTGCGCATATGGGAATAGGGCCGCTGGCTGCCATGGGAGCTGTGCAGCCATTCATGCATGTGCATGCATCAGCACATGCGTAACCGGGGCTGCTAATGCTTTGCCAGTGTGCGTGCGTGCACCAATTTTGAAGCTGGTCTCCTTCTCTCCAATCTGTGAGCCCGGAAAGGTTTTAGACCTCTGGGTTATAAGGCAGAGTAGATAGTCACATTTTCATCCTAAAAATAAAAGGTCACAGACTGATTGCCAACAAGTCCAGATATACCAAATCTTTAGGGTTTTGATTGATAATGAAAAAAAAGTGTTTTGGTTTGCAGAAAATTTTGTTCTTGCAGCTGACAGGACAATTGTCTGGTTTGTTCAGACTTTCAGTGTAACCCTGTTCAAACCAATTTGAGTGTGTGCACACATACATTCCTGCAAAGTTATATTTTCAATAGATCCTTCTTTGGACATTTTCCCTCCTTCAACAATTCCTTCCAGTCTATCTATCAAATCACTTCATAGAAATTGCATTGAGAAAAACATTTATAATTGATTGTATTATCATGAAGAGATTGAATATTATTCAAAGACAAACAATATATATAATTACAATGTATAGTATAGAGGTATAACATTTACTATTTTGTGATTGAGGGTTAAATTGTTAAAGTGGGTGACTTTTTCATTCTTACTTCAACTATATCTCTAATTATCTTGTCCTTTATAAAACCCAGTAATGAACATAAGTCAATCTTGAGATTCTCAATATACACGGCAAATGCTTGTTTATACAACATTTTGGTCATGTATCATTTACACATCATTGGAGATGATAGGTATAGAAGAGATAGGAATGGATGCTGCTATCTCACTGTGCATTTATACATCATTCACAAGGCGCTACTTGTTAAATTCTACAGACATGCATCTGATGTTAAAAAAAATATCCTGAAAGCAAGATGGAGAAAAATAGAGGCATACTTTTATTTCAGAAATCTAGTTGTCTAATGGACCCCCTATTACAGGTGCTTTAGTGTCACACAAACTGAATATTTATTTAAGCTAGTTGATTTCCAGTGATATTTTGGGCAATAAAGTACAGGAACAATGTAATTAATAAATAATATTTCTTTGAGGTGTGATTTTTTTTAGCAGAATTTCCCTTTAGAAATATACGTTAACTAAAAAAAATAACCCTGCAGGTAATAACAATGGATGTTGGATAAATAAGCATGTTGACAAAAAGGTTTGTATTTTCTTAAACATTTGTGGCTTCAGAATACTATAACAATCTTAAAGAGTTTCTAGCATAATGGAAGAAATTAAGTAGTGGAACTCTCCAGTGTGTTAACTGGTTTCTTGGGGCCCGCTAAAGCTTTAGCTGCTTTTTAATTGGTATTTTGTTGTTGTTAATTGCGAAGTCGTGTCCGACCCATCATGACCCCATGGACAACGTTCCTCCAGGTCTTCCTGTTCTCTACTATCTTCTGGAGTCCATTTAAACTCACGCCTACTGCTTCAGTGACTCCATCCAGCCACCTCATTCTCTGTCATACCCTTCTTCTATTGCCCTCAGCTTTCCCAGCATTAGGCCCTTCTCCAGTGAGTCCTTCCTTCTCATTAAGTGGCCAAAGTATTTGAGTTTCAGCTTCAGGATCTGGACTTCTAAAGAGCAATTGGGGTTGATCTCTTCTAGGACTGACCGGTTTGAACACCTTGCAGTCCAAGGGACTCACAGGAGTCTTCTCCAGCACCATAGTTCAAAGGCCTCAATTCTTTGGTGCTCAGCCTTTCTTATGGTCCAACTTTCACAGCCATACATTGCAACTGGGAAAACCATGGCCTTGACTATACGCACTTTTGTTGGCTGGATGATGTCTCTGCTTTTTAGTATGCTATCTAGATTTGCCATAGCTTTCCTCCCAGGAGCAAGTGTCTTTTAATTTCTTGGCTGCAGTCCCCATCTGAGGTGATCTTGGAGCCCAGGGAAATAAAATCTGTCACTACCTCCATTTCTTCTCCATCTATTTGCCAGGAATTGAGAGGGCCGGATGCCATGATTTTGGTTTTCTTAATGTTAAGTTTCAAGCCAACTTTTGCACTTTCCTTCTTCACCCGCATCAAGAGGCTCTTTAGTTTCTCTTCACTTTCTGCCATTAGAGTGGTATCATCTGCATATCTTAGGTCGTTGATATTTCTCCTGGCAATCTTAATTCCAACTTTTGATTCATCTAGCCCTGCCTTTCTCATGATGTGTTTTGCATATACGTTAAATAGGCAGGGCGACAGTATACAGCCTTGCTGGACTCCTTTCCCAATTTTGAACCAATCAGTGGTTCCGTGTCCAGTTCTCACTGTTGCTTCTTGACCCGCATATAGGTTTCTCAAGAGACAAATGAGATGGTCTGGTACTCCCATCTCTTTAAGAACTTGCCACAATTTGTTGTGATCCACACAATCAAAGGCTTTTTCACAGTCAATGAAGCAGAAGTAGATGTTTTTCTAGAACTCCCTAGCTTTCTCCATGATCCAGCATATGTTGGCAATTTGATCTCTAGTTCCTCTGCTTCTTCGAAATCCTGTCTGTACCTCTGGTAGTTCTCGATCCACATACTGCTGGAGTCTAGCTTGTAGGATTTTAAGCATAACTCTATTAGCATGTGAAATGAGTGCAATGGCGTGATAGTTTGAACATTCTTTGGCATTGCCTTTCTTTGGAATTGGAATGTAAACTGACCTTTTCCAATCCTGTGGCCACTGCTGAGTTATCCAAATTTGCTGGCAAATTGAGTATAGTACTTTTACTGCATTGTCTTTTAAGATTTTGAATAGCTCAGCTGGAATACTGTCACCTCCACTAGCTTTGTTGTTGCTCAGATTTTCTAAGGCCCATTTCACTTCACATTCTAGGATGTCTGGCTCGAGGTCAGTGACCACCCCATTGTGGTTATCTGGGACATTAAGCTCATTCTGTGTAGTTTTGCCACCTCTTCTTAATCTCTTCTGCCTCTGTTAGGTCCCTGCTGTTTTGGTCCTTTATCATGCCCATCTTTGCTTGAAACGTTCCCTTCGTATCTCCAATTTTCTTGAAGAAATCTCTGGTCCTCCCTATTCTGTGGTTTTCTTCTATTTCTTTGCACTGTTCATTTAAGAAGGTATTATCTCTTCTAGCTACTCTCTGGAATTCTGCATTCAATTGGGTGTATCTTTCTCTTTCTTCTTTGCCTTTCGCTTCCCTTCTTTCCTCAGCTATTTGCAAAGCTTCCTCAGACAGCCATTTTGCTTTCTTGCATTTCTTTTTCTTTAGGATGGTTTTAGTTGCTACCTCTTGTACAATGTTGCAAACCTCCATCCATAGTTCTTCAGACACTCTGTCTATCAGATCTAATTTGTTAAATCTATTTGTCACCTCTACTGTATATTCATCAGAAATATGATTTAGTTCATACCTGAGTGGCCTAGTGCTTTTCCCTACTTTTTTCAATTTAAGCCTAAATTTTGCAACGAGAAGCTCATGATCTGAGCCACAGTCAGCTCCTGGTCTTGTTTTTACTGACTGTATAGAGTTTCTCCATCTTTGGCTGCAGAGCACATAGTCAATCTGATTTCTGTGCTGACCGTCTGGTGATGTCCATGTGTAGAGCCGTCTCTTGGGTTATTGGAAAAGAGTGTTTGTTATGACCATCATATTCTCTTGACAAAATTCTATCAGCCCTGTTTCATTTTGTACTCCAAGGCCAAACTTGTCTGTTATTCCAGTTATCTTTTGGCTTCCTACTTTAGCATTCCAATCCCCGATGATAAGGACATCATTTTTTGGTGTTAATTCTATAAGATGCTCTAGGGCTTCATAGAACCGGTCAATTTCATCCTCTTCAGCACCAGTGGTTGAGGCATAGATTTGTACTACTGTGATTTTGAATGGTTTGCCTTGGATTCAAACTGAGATCATTCTGTCATTTTGGGGATTGTATCCCAGTGTTGCTTTTTATTGGAATATTCATGAACAGGAAGAGTCATGTAGTAACTCAGTCAGCCAATGTGAAGAAAGTGCTACTGAGTCTGTGCAAAAAGAGTATTGAGTTAGGAGCTGGATTTCCAGTCTCAGGTTTTGTCTCTGTATGTCTCTGTAAGAAGTCTTCATTAAGCTATGTTGCTGCAAAGAAGAATGGTATTGTAAATATTTTTATATAAATATAAAGTTATTTG